TACACACACACACTCCACCGACACACACACACACACACTCCACCTACCTACACACACACACTCCACCTACACACACACACACTCCACCTACACACACACACACTCCACCTACACACACACACACTCCACCTACACACACACACACTCCACCTACCTACGCACACACACTCCACTTACCTACACATACAAACACTCCACCTACCTACACACACTACACCTACCTACGCACACACACTACACCTACCTACGCACACACACTCCACCTACCTACACATACACACACTCCACCTACCTACACATACACACACTCCACCTACCTACACACACACACACTCCACCTACCTACACACACTCCACCTACCTACGCACACACACTCCACCTACCTACGCACACAGAGACTCCACCTACCTACGCACACACACTCCACCTACATACACAAACACACTCCACCTACCTACACACACACACACTCCACCTACCTACACACACTCCACCTACACACACTCCACCTACCTACAGACACACACTCCACCTACCTACACACACACACTCCACCTACACACACTCCACCTACCTACACACACACACACACTCCACCTACCTACACACACACACACTCCACCTACCTACACACACACACTCCACCTACCTACACACACACACACTCCACCTACCTACACACACACACACTACACCTACCTACGCACACACACACTCCACCTACACACACACACACACTCCACCTACCTACACACACACACTCCACCTACATACACACACTCCACCTACCTACACACACACACACTCCACCTACCTACACACACACACTCCACCTACCTACACACACACACTCCACCTACATACACACACACTCCACCTACACACACACACACTCCACCTACATACACACACACTCCACCTACACACACACACACTCCACCTACACACACACACACACACTCCACCTACACACACACACACACACTCCACCTACACACACACACACACACTCCACCTACCTACACACACACACTCCACCTACATACACACACACACTCCACCTACATACACACACACACACACTCCACCTACACACACACACACACACTCCACCTACACACACACACACTCCACCTACCTACACACACACACACACTCCACCTACCTACACACACACACTCCACCTACATACACACACACACACTCCACCTACATACACACACACACACACACTCCACCTACACACACACACACACACACTCCACCTACCTACACACACACACTCCACCTACCTACACACACACACACTCCACCTACCTACACACACACACTCCACCTACCTACACACACACACTTCACCTACCTACACACAAACACTCCACCTACCTACACACATACACACTCCACCTACCTACACACACACACTTCACCTACCTACACACACACACACTCCACCTACCTACACACACACACTCCACCTACCTACACACACACACTCCACCTACACACACTCCACCTACCTACACACACACACTACACCTACCTACACACACACACTCCACCTACCTACACACATACACACTCTACCTACCTACACACACACACACTCCACCTACCTACACACACACACTCCACCTACCTACACACACACACACTACACCTACCTACACACACACACTCCACCTACCTACACACACACACTACACCTACCTACACACACACACTACACCTACCTACACACACACACTCCACCTACATACACACACACACACTCCACCTACATACACACACACACTCCACCTACCTACACACACACACTCCTCCTACCTACACACACACACTCGTCTTTCCATCCACTCGCCCATCGATAAACAAAGACAGAGCTCCCACACCAACACATACACGTATACAACAACAACCGCCATTCGCCACAAAGTGGCGGTGACGTCACCACGACGCTTGTGCCAGGCTATGTGCACCCTGAGGCCACGTGAAGTGTCGAACGCCCGCTGGCAGGAGGTCACGGGGCAGACCCAGCAGGTGCCACGGGTCGACTGACTGAGATGACTGGCTGATGCACCACCTGTGCCCCCTACTGTGCCAACCTGCTGTGCTTTAGCCACCCGGCGCTCCGCTCGTTGTTGTGAGCGTCGCTCCTCCGCCCTCCGTTGTTGTTGGAGGGCGACTGCCTCCAACTGCCCAGTAGGGTCCTTCACGAGCCTCCTCCACACACACACACCAACCCACCAACATGGGCACACACTCGCCCACACACTCGCCCACACACACTCACACACGCTCACACGCTCACACACTCGCCCACACACACTCGCCCACACACACACACGCTCACACTCTCTCGCACACCTCACAAAGACCACACTCAGCCCACCTACACGCACACGGACCCATCCACTAACAGCCACCGACACACTCGCCTCCACGCGCACTCTCTCTCACAATCTCTCACAAAGACTCTCCACACACACACACTCTCACCCTCTCTCTCCCTCTCTCACAATCTCTCACAAAGACTCTCCACACACACACACTCTCTCCCTCTCTCACCCTCTCTCACAATCTCTCACAAAGACTCTCCACACACTCTCACTCTCTCCCTCCCTCTCTCTCTCCCTCCCTCTCTCTCTCACAATCTCTCACACAGACTCTCCACACACACACACTCTCACCCTCTCTCTCCCTCTCTCACAATCTCTCACAAAGACTCTCCACACACACACACTCTCTCACACTCTCACCCTCTCTCACAATCTCTCACAAAGACTCTCCACACACTCTCACTCTCTCCCTCTCTCTCACAATCTCTCACAAAGACGCTCCACACACTCTCACTCTCTCCCTCCCTCTCTCTCTCCCTCCCTCTGTCTCTCACAATCTCTCACAAAGACTCTCCACACACACACACACTCTCACCCTCCCTCTCTCCCTCTCTCTCCCTCTCTCACAATCTCTCACAAAGACTCTCCACACACACACGCACACTCTCTCCCTCTCTCCCTCTCTCACAATCTCTCACAAAGACTCTCCACACACACACACGCACTCTCTCCCTCTCTCCCTCTCTCTCACAATCTCACAATCTCTCACAAAGACTCTCCACACACACACGCACTCCCTCCCTCTCTCTCACAATCTCTCACAAAGACTCTCCACACACACACACGCACTCTCACCCTCTCTCACAATCTCTCACAAAGACGCTCCACACACACACACGCACTCTCTCTCAATCTCTCCCTCTCTCACAATCTCTCACAAAGACTCTCCACACACACACACTCTCACTCCCTCTCTCTCCCTCTCTCTCCCTCTCTCACAAAGACTCTCCACACACACACACACCCTCTCTCCCTCCCACTCTCTCTCACAATCTCTCACACAGACTCTCCACACACACACACACACTCTCACCCTCTCACTCTCTCTCTCTCCCTCTCTCTCTCTCACAATCTCTCACAAAGACTCTCCACACACACACACTCTCACCCTCTCACCCTCTTTCTCTCCCTCTCTCTCTCACAATCTCTCACAAAGACTCTCCACACACACACACTCTCACCCTCTCACCCTCTTTCTCTCCCTCTCTCTCTCACAATCTCTCACAAAGACTCTCCACACACACACACTCTCACCCTCTCACCCTCTTTCTCTCCCTCTCTCTCTCACAATCTCTCACAAAGACTCTCCACACACACACACACACACCCTCTCTCCCTCTCTCTCCCTCTCTCTCACAATCTCTCACAAAGACTCTCCACACAGATACACACTCTCTCCCTCTCTCTCACAATCTCTCACAAAGACTCTCCACACAGACACACTCTCTCCCTCTCTCTCACAATCTCTCACAAAGACTCTCCACACAGACACACACACACTCTCACCCTCTCTCCCTCTTTCACCCTCCCTCCCTCTCTCACAATCTCTCACAAAGACTCTCCACACACACACACTCTCTCCCTCTCTCACAATCTCTCACAAAGACTCTCCACACACACACACTCTCTCCCTCTCTCTCCCTCTCACAATCTCTCACAAAGACTCTCCACTCTCACCCTCTCTCCCTCTCTCACAATCTCTCACAAAGACGCTCCACACACTCTCACTCTCTCCCTCTCTCTCTCAATCCCTCCCTCTCTCACAATCTCTCACAAAGACTCTCCACTCTCACCCTCTCTCCCTCTCTCACAATCTCTCACAAAGACTCTCCACACACACACGCACTCTCTCCCTCTCTCTCCCTCTCTCACAATCTCTCACAAAGACTCTCCACACACACACGCACTCTCTCCCTCTCTCTCTCACAATCTCTCACAAAGACTCTCCACACACACGCACTCTCTCCCTCCCTCTCTCTCTCCCTCCCTCTCTCTGTCACTATCTCTCACAAAGACTCTCCACACACACTCTCACCCTCTCTCTCTCTCTCTCACCCTCTCTCACAATCTCTCACAAAGACTCTCCACACACACTCTCACCCTCTCTCTCTCTCTCTCACCCTCTCTCACAATCTCTCACAAAGACTCTCCACACACACACACACTCTCACCCTCTCTCCCTCTCTCTCCCCCTCTCTCTCTCTGTCACAATCTCTCACAAAGACTCTCCACACACACACACTCTCTCCCTCCCTCTCTCTCTCTCCCTCTCTCACAACCTCTCACAAAGACTCTCCACACACACACACCACGCACTCTCTCCCTCTCTCTCCCTCTCTCACAATCTCTCACAAAGACTCTCCACTCTCACCCTCTCTCACCCTCTCTCCCTCTCTCACAACCTCTCACAATCTCTCACAAAGACTCTCCACACACTCACACTCTCTCCCTCTCTCTCACCAGCTCTCACAAAGACTCTCCACACACACACGCACTCTCTCCCTCTCACCCTCTCTCACAATCTCTCACAAAGACTCTCCACACACACACACTCTCACCCTCTCTCCCCCTCTCTCCCACAATCTCTCACAAAGACTCTCCACACAGACACACACACACACACTCTCTCTCCCTCTCTCACAATCTCTCACAAAGACTCTCCACACACACACACACCACGCACTCTCTCCCTCTCTCTCCCTCTCTCACAATCTCTCACAAAGACTCTCCACTCTCACCCTCTCTCACCCTCTCTCCCTCTCTCACAATCTCTCACAAAGACTCTCCACACACACAATTGGGGAAAGCGTTCGCGGTCGGTCGGCAAAGACTCTCGCCGCGCGGCCGAGGCGAAAAAACAGTTCTCGCTGACACCCGAGCCAACATCGCCAACCTGGTGCTGTTGACGCGTCAATCTCCTGCCTCCACCCACTCCACCCACTCCACCCACTCCTCCACCCTACCGCACCCTAACCCCCGCTGATAGTTGAGCCGCGCCTCCCAACGGCGGCGGTGGCGGTGAGTTGCCAGCGGAACTCGACGCCCCGTGTGGTGTGGCGCTAACAAAGGGCTCCAGGTGTCCGCGTCTCACCCGGCGACCAGCGCCACTGCCCCGGGCGGCAAGGAACAAACGAACGATAGTTGCCCCCCCCTCCCCCCGATCCCAAGCCCCCCCTTGTCACCCGACTCTCCGTGCCCACAATAAATAAATAATCAGGGCTGGGTTTGGGTTGGGGGGGGGGGGGCTGGGGTGGGGCTCGGGAGGGAGGGGGGAGGGGGTGGAAACTGACGGGGGCCTCGTGGGGCAAATGTACCGCACGGTGGGCTAGAGATGTTGACTACCTCGCCCGGTGTGCAGGAGGTCGTGGGTTCAATGCCGACCCTGACGATGCCTGCTGCTGTAGATTTGGAGTCTGTGTCTCTCTCTCTCATCATCATCATCACGTTGGCTAGGAGATGTTGACTACCTCGCCTGGTGTGCAGGAGGTCGTGGCTTGCGATTGCAGCCCTGGCATGAATGATGTTTCATCCATCCTCGTGTTTCGTCAGCAGTAGCAGCTCAGACTGAGACGTTATCTCCCTTGGCCCGGTGTGCAGGAGGTCGTGGGTTCGATCCCGACCCCTGACGATGCCTGCTGCTGCTGCTGTAGATTTGGAGTCTGCGTTTCTCTCTCATCATCATCATCACGGTGGCTATGAGATGTTGACTACATCGCCTGGTGTGCAGGAGGTCGTGGGTTTGACCCCGACCCTGACGATGCCTGCTGCTGCTGCTGTAGATTTGTAGTCTGCGTCTCTCTCTCTCTCTCATCATCATCATCATCACGGTGGCTAGGGAGATGTTGACTACCTCGCCTGGTGTGCAGGAGGTCGTGGGTTCCATCTCGACGCCTGACGATTCCTGCTACTGCTGCATATTTGTAGCTTGTGTCTCTCTCTCTCGCTCTCTCTCCCCGTGGCCGCGTGGATTTTTCTCTGGGCTCTGCTCTGGGGGTTTTAAGTTTTTTGTTTTTCCCCTCCACATTTCGACTCGACGTCACGACGCCTTCGCGGTATTTTGGCTGCTGTTATAAATGTCCGCACGATGATGGAAAAGTCACTTAGTCGAGCAATCATTTGTGTTTTGCCAGGTTCGCTTCTGAGAAGGGAGGCTACATAGCTCAGTAATGGGCCTTACCTGGAAAGAAGGCATTTAATTTAGATACGGCATCTCTCTCCCATGCAGCCTGTACGCCTGATATGGCCTCAGTCTACACGGCCCGTGGGCCAATCGCGGCCCGCGACTGCAATATAAAACCACCAAAAGCGTGAAGTCGTGAGCATGAGGATGCATGTCTCCCTCCTTTTATGAGGTTCGCGGTGGCCATATCGATGGATTGGAACCAGTAGCATTGAGGCTCTGCGTCCAAAGCCCTGGGTCTATGTCTCTGTCTTTCTCTCCGAACCTCACGCGGTTCAACGTGTCCATGACGGACACGCTCCTGAACCAGCATTCGCTGTGATCTTAGCTGCCCTTGTACGAACCGCGCGCGGTTTGGGTGGTGCGTGGTGGTGTGCGTTGGTGTGCGTCTAACGCCTGACCTCTGTCCTCTGCAGGAGCTGGCCGCTCTTCGGGCTCAGCTGGAGGGCTCCTCGATGTCTGTGGAGGTGGACAGCGCCAAGGGCAAGGACCTCAGCAAGATCCTGGCAGAGATCCGGGCTCAGTACGAGGCCATGATCGCCAGGAACCGCGTCGATCAGGAGGAGGCCTTCAAGAAGCAGGTGGGTGGGTGTGGGCGGCCGGGGAGGGGAGGTGGGAGAGATGAAGCAAAACGCGGCTCGAGTAAAAAAAAAACAACAACAAACGAAAGCAACCCAAAAGGCCCTAGCAAAAGTAATCCATGGCGTTCCAGATTAGCAGGGGGAGGCACTGGACAGATGAGGCTCGCTCTCAAAACGTCCGGGACAGTTTCGAAACGAAGCAACTTTAATCGGTTTCGTGCGGCTAGTTGGGACTCGGGAGGGCAATGGCGCAGAAACTGAGCCCAGGCCGCGAGAGCCTACGCCGCCCGGTACGAGGAATTATCACGGCCTCCATTTTAAAATGAGAACTTGCGGCCATTTTTTTGTTTATCACGGCGGCCGCCATTTTGAAATTACAACGGCGGCCATTTTAAAATATTGAACCAATGCTGCCCTCTGCTGGTATGAAAATGTAATAGTAATAGGTTTCACCCTTCTGACTGGCACAAAAACTGACAACTTTATTCAAGGCATCGTGTTTGCAATGACCCACAACACAAGCAGTCAAAATGCAAACAAATGAGACAACTCTGATAATGATAATATTGGCACTGTCCTTGAATTTGATTGGTCCACACCCGAGACGGCTTTTCTTAGAGCCTAGTCTCCACTATTACTATATCTTGTTACTGGCAAAGGAGGTCTCATAATGTAAATGCTCACCCCGAGCCCTCAATACTCTGATAGTGCATTGTTTTTTAGTTGTACGCCTTTTGGCGTCTTCTGGTCCAACACCAGTGGAGACTAAAGGGCTCTTAGAAAAGCCGTCTCGGGTGTGGACCAATCAAATTCAAGGACAGTGCCAATATTATTATCAGAGTTGTCTTTTTTTGTTTGCATTTTGACTGCTTGTGCTGTGGTTATTGCAAACACGATGCCTTGAATACAGGTGTCAGTTTTTGTGCCAGTCAAAAGGGTAAAAACCTATTACTATATCTTGTTACTGGCAAAGGAGAGCTCATAATGACAATGTAAGTTGGGTGATTAATTATACACTCGTTTATCTTATATTAGACTTTAAAAAAAGTTGCATAAGTGTTGCATCCATACAGACACCCCGACGCATCTTTCTCCGCTTCTCTAAAACCCAGAGAGGACGAGATGTTTGACATTTTCGCCTAGGTTTGACGTTTCCTGCTATGCGTGTTCAGGGCTATTGCCCTTAAATGTCGACCGCAACACGGAGGGTTGTTTAAAAAAAAAAAAAACGTTTAACAACGCCACGAGAAATTCGCTGCCTCCGGCCTCTAGAGACCACCTGGACAGGATGCCAGGCGATGTGTTGACAATGGTGGCGAACAAGGGGGGAGACTCTCCGAAGCTACTGACGTGCATTTTGTTATCGCGTTGCGGTGTATTCTCCGTTCTTTTCCCATCGAAAACGACGGCCTTGTGGAAGTGTCCTTGGCTCTTTCGGCAAAGTGGCGTTGAAGGGGAAACAATAAAATAATAAAATACATATCTATATATAAAACGATGACAAAAAAATTCTCGCGACGTTTCGACCATAACACAAACGGTCGTCGTCAGGTGTGAAAAACCCAACGGCAAGAAACATTTAAAAGAAGTGGCGCTTCGCATTTGTTTATTTTTAAACGGTGTTTTATTTTTTAATTTATTTAAAAAAAAACGTTAGCACCACGGACAGCGATTTGGCAGTTTGTTTAGAAGGACGAGTCCATCTATGTTCTTAGCTCTTTCGGTAAAGTCACGTTGAAGGGAAACAATAAAGTAATAAAATATATATATATAAAACGATAAAAATTCTCACGACGTTTCGACCATAACACAAACGGTCGTCATCAGGTGTGTCGGTTTGCATTAATTTATTTATTTTAAAACGGTGTATTTATTTATAAAAACGTTAGCACCACGGGCAGCGATTTGGCAGTTTGTTTAGAAGGACTAGTCCATCTATGTTCTGAAACAGAGGAAGGGGGAGACGAAAAATTAATGTATCCTGTCTGAAAGCCACGGTAAGCGTGAACAATCAATTAAGACCCGAAATGGTTTTTCAAATCCTTCCAATGATTGCTAAGCCAGAATCCATCTTCTCGGTTGGAATTGTCTCTGTGCTTTGTTATATGTGGATAGCCTCATGAACGAATCTCTCATGGTAGCCAGATGGCGTAGAAGTGCTAACATTTTTGCGATTTAAAGCTTTCGTGACTGCAGGGAATTCCTATCATTGGTTCTTTCGGTAAAGTCACCGCGTAGAAGGGAAACAATAAAATAATACAAGCAACACAAACTAAAATCAAAATTCTCACGACGTTTCCATCGCAACACACCTGATGATGATGATGATTGCTTGTGTTGCAATCGAAACGTCGTGAGAATTTTAATTGTTTTAATTGTATTGTTTAATTTAGTTCCCCTTCTACGTGACCTTTTATACCTGAGAGAACCAAGAATGTGTTAACATTTTGTTGAAGCACCCTGCACTTTCCCACTTTCCTGCCACGGTGATATTGACAAATGTGAGTTTGTCACCTACCACCGTGAATGCACATTGTTACGCATGGCGAGATGGTGGCTAGGAGATGTTAACTACTTCGACTGGTATGCAGGAGGTCGTGGGTTTGACCCCGACCCTGACGATGCTTTCTGCTGCTGTAGATTTGGAGTCTGTGTCTCTCTCTCTCATCATCTTCATCATCACTGTGGCTAGGAGATGTTGACTACCTCGCCTGGTGTACAGGAGGTCGTCGGGTCTATCCAAACCCTGACGATGCCTGCTGCTGCTGCTGCTGAATATTTGGAGCTTGCATCTCTCTCTCTCTCTGTGGCTGTTGGGATTTTCTCCCGGGGTCCTCCGATTTTTTTTTCCTTCCACATTTTAGAATCAACATGGCATGTTTTAGAGTATTTGGCTGATTGTAAATTCCCACTTGATGAGCCACTTTGTTGAGCTATTAGTTGTGGATAAGCCAGGTCGTTTCCAAAAAATGGCTACAGAGCCCAGAGTGCCTTACATGGGTAAACAAACAATAATTGTTTATGTTCTGGGTTCTTTCGGTAAAGTCACCACGTAGAAGGGAAACAATAAAACAAAAAATATACAAAACAATAATTTTTGTTTTATTGTTTCCCTTCTACGTTAGTGACTTTACCGAAAGAACCAAGAATATTAATCCCTGCAGTCACGGAAGCTTTAAATAAAAAACAGTTTAATATATATGTATTATTCTAACCCAGAGTGCATCTCTTCGTTGCCACCAACAGCGATCTAACAATGTCCATCTTCTTTTTTTTCCCCCCTCTCCCTGCCAATCCAGGTGGACACGGTGAAGGTGGCCTCCGTTCAACAGAACCAGGCAGCCCAGTCGGCCAAGAACGAGGTGGTGGAGACTCGACGCTCCATGCAGTCGCTCCAGGCTGAGCTAGACTCCCTGCGCGGGCTGGTGAGTGAGTGAGTGAGTGGGTGGATGGGGAGGCGTCGCCACCACCAGCACTACACAAACCAAGCAACTACCGCACAATTTTCTGGCCACAACCCCGTCGCCATCGCTTCTGAACTGGTTGAATGCCATTGTGGTTAAAAGGTGGAACGTCAGTATCTTTTGTATCATTCAAAGGCCCCCCACCCCACCCATCTTCATGCTAGGCCCTGAAGCTATAGCTCACTCGGCTTGTGCATTATGTCCGGCCCTGGCACAACCGCACGCTCCACTTAACTCGCCCTCCGGACCCCCCTCTCCAGATCCGCTCGCTGGAGCAGCAGCTGCAGGACACGGAGGAGCGCAACGCGCGGGAGCTCTCCGGCTACACCAACGTGATCCAGCGCCTCGAGGGGGAGCTCAACAACATGCGTGGAGACATCAACAGGCAGCTCAAGGACTACTCGGACCTCCTCAACATGAAGATGAAGCTCGAGGAGGAGATCGCCACCTACAGACGCCTGCTGGAAGGGGAGGACAGCCGGTACGGTGGTGGTGGTGGTGGTGGTGTTGGGGGTGGTGGTGGTGGTGATGGTGATGATGGTGTGGGTGGTGGTGATGGTGATGATGGTGTGGGTGGTGGTGATGGTGATGGTGATGATGGTGTGGGTGGTGGTGATGGTGATGATGGTGTGGGTGGTGGTGATGGTGATGATGGTGTGGGTGGTGATGGTGATGATGGTGTGGGTGGTGATGGTGATGATGGTGTGGGTGGTGATGGTGATGATGGTGTGGGTGGTGGTGGTGGTGATGATGGTGGTGGTGATGATGGTGGTGGTGATGATGGTGTGGGTGGTGGTGATGATGGTGGTGATGGTGTGGGTGGTGGTGGTGGTGATGGTGGTGGTGATGATGGTGTGGGTGGTGGTGGTGATGATGGTGGTGATGGTGGTGATGGTGGTGGTGGTGGTGATGATGGTGGTGGTGATGGTGATGTGGGTGGTGGTGGTGGTGGTGATGATGGTGGTGGTGATGATGGTGGTGGTGATGATGGTGTGGGTGGTGGTGGTGGGGTGGAACTGGGGGAGGTGTAATTGTGCCAAAGTGGGAGCCAGTGAAGGACCTCGCCGACCATGCCTATCGGTTCCCTAACCGTGCGAGCCAAGCCCCCCAAGCCCCCCAAGCCCCCCAAGCCCCCCAAGCCCCCCAAGCCCCCCAAGCCCCCCAAGCCCCCCGTCTCAACCTCGAACAGCAACCTTCATCGCTTCACCCTAGCCTCGTGATATTTCCAACAGCCTGCCGTAGGCCCACGTGCGTCGGTCCAATTCCCTCGCTCCCCATCTGGGAACAGGTTCTTAACCCCTTGCCATGTTTGGCATCGGTGACTCATCCTTACGATACTAGGAAGGCCGCTGAAACTATGCACTTTGAAAAAAAAAAGTCTATATTGATAAATGTATTCGATTTTTCGAACTGCCTTTTTTTGCGTGTTCTGTTTTTTTTTATAATTTGTATTAACGTTGCTGTTATTTTGATTTAAAGCTTTCGTGACTGCAGTAATTCATATTCTTAGTTTTTTCGGTAAAGTCACGTTGAAGAGAAACAACAAAATAATAAAATATATATATAAAACAATAAAAAAAATTCTCACGACGTTTCGACCATAACTCAAACGGTCATCTTCAGGTGTGTTGGTTTGCATGAATTTATTTTTAAACGGCGCATTTATTTATTTATAAATAAAGTCTGAGGTTATGGTCGAAACGTCGTGAGAATTTTTTTATTGTTTTATATATATATTTTATTATTTTGTTGTTTCTCTTCAACGTGACTTTACCGAAAAAACTAAGAATATGTTTTGATTTATAGCTTTCGTGACTGCAGTAATTCATATTCTTAGTTTTTTCGGTAAAGTCACGTTGTTTCTCTTCAACGTGACTTTACCGAAAAAACTAAGAATATGTTGTTGTTATTATTTCCCTTTCCACCTTTGTCTTCTCCCTTGTCTGTGTGTTTCACTCACTCCCCACCCCCCCTCTCCTCCCCCATCCCTCTCGCCCCATTTTCTCCGTCCAGACTGAACGTCAGCCAGAGCTCCAGCGGAGGGGTCAAAATGTAATGGGTGAGTCTCCCGTTCATCGGCCCGCGCGGAGAAGGCCGTAGCCTCGCGCGGATGAGCAGAGCCAGGCGCAAGGTGCCGATGTCCTCGCACGGAGTCTCATAGGGCCCCCACCGTGCAGATGTAGCAATGGACTGGGGAAGGGGGCGATTGCATTGGAGGAATGGGAGCACTGTCGTTGGTGCGACAATGATCTAAACATGCGGTGGATAGACCACGGCTGGTGGTGGTGGTGGTTGGGGTTGGGGGTGGTTAGGACGGTGGTGGTGGTGTTGGGGGTGGTGGTTAGGGTGTTGGTGGTGGTGGTGGTTGTTAGGGTGTTGGTGGTGGTAGTGGTTAGGGTGGTGGTGGTGGTGGTTAGGGTGGTGGTGGTGGTAGTGATTAGGGTGGTGGTGGTGATTAGGGTGGTGGTAGTGGTTAGTGTGGTGGTGGTGGTGGTGGTGGTTAAGGTGGTGGTGGTGGTGGTTGTGGTGGTGGTTAGGGTGGTGGTTAGGGTGGTGGTGGTTAGGGCGGTGGTTAGGGTGGTGGTGGTTAGGGTGGTGGTTATGGTGTTGGTGTTGGTGGTGGTTATGGTGGTGGTGCTTGGTGGTGGTTATGGTGGTGGTGGTGGTGGTGCTTGGCGTGCTGCGAGATGAACCCGGCAACCCGAGCTCCATTCCCGCTCACGACCAATGATGGTGACGAATATTTGAACCGGTCCTGGGCTTCCCTATGGTCGACTCGGCCTCAAATGATTGCCTGGTGTGCCGTGTGTGTGTGTGTAGTAGTAGTAGTAGTAAACATCGCCACTGGGGAGACAAAGGCGGTCCGGGCAGTGGTGCTGGCCACCTACCCCCTCGTGTACCTTTCTGGCCTTCATAGGTGCTCGCTAACAGCACTTGCCCCTGCAGTCTGTTAGAGGCTACACGGGGGATCGTTGTCTGTGTCTGTGTGTGAGGTGCTAGCTGACAGCACTTGCCCCTGCAGCCTGTTAGAGGCTACACGGGGGATCTTTGTCTGTGTCTGTGTTTGAGGTTCTAGCTAACAGCACTTGCCCCTGCAGCCTGTTAGAGGCTACACGGGGGATCTTTGTCTGTGTCTGTGTGCGAGGTGCTAGCTAACAGCACTTGCCCCTGCAGCCTGTTAGAGGCTACACGGGGGATCTTTGTCTGTGTCTGTGTGTGAGGTGTTAGCTAACAGCACTTGCCCCTGCAGCCTGTTAGAGGCTACACGGGGGATCTTTGTCTGTGTCTGTGTGTGAGGTGCTAGCTAACAGCACTTGCCCCCTACAGTCTGTTAGAGGCTACACGGGGGATCTTTGTCTGTGTCTGTGTGTGAGGTGCTAGCTAACAGCACTTGCCCCTGCAGCCTGTTAGAGGCTACACGGGGGATCTTTGTCTGTGTCTGTGTGTGAGGTGTTAGCTAACAGCACTTGCCCCTGCAGCCTGTTAGAGGCTACACGGGGGATCTTTGTCTGTGTCTGTGTGTGAGGTGCTAGCTAACAGCACTTGCCCCCTACAGTCTGTTAGAGGCTACACGGGGGATCTTTGTCTGTGTCTGTGTGTGAGGTGCTAGCTAACAGCACTTGCCCCTGCAGCCTGTTAGAGGCTACACGGGGGATCTTTGTCTGTGTCTGTGTGAGGTGCTCGCTAACTGCACTTGCCCCTGCAGTCTGTTAGAGGTTACATGGGGGATCTTTGTCTGTCTGTGTGTGAGGTGCTAGCTAACAGCACTTGCCCCTGCAGCCTGTTAGAGGCTACACGGGGGATCTTTGTCTGTGTGTGAGGTGCTAGCTAACAGCACTTGCCCCCTACAGCCTGTTAGAGGCTACACGGGGGATCTTTGTCTGTGTCTGTGTGTGAGGTGCCAGCTAACAGCACTTGCCCCCTACAGTCTGTTAGAGGCTACACGGGGGATCTTTGTCTGTGTCTGTGTGTGAGGTGCTAGCTAACAGCACTTGCCCCCTACAGTCTGTTAGAGGCTGCACGGGGGATCTTTGTCTGTGTCTGTGTGTGAGGTGCTAGCTAACAGCACTTGCCCCCTACAGTCTGTTAGAGGCTACACGGGGGATCTTTGTCTGTGTCTGTGTGTGAGGTGCTAGCTAACAGCACTTGCCCCCTACAGTCTGTTAGAGGCTACACGGGGGATCTTTGTCTGTGTCTGTGTGTGAGGTGCTAGCTGACAGCACTTGCCCCTGCAGCCTGTTAGAGGCTACACGGGGGATCTTTGTCTGTGTCTGTGTGTGAGGTGCTAGCTAACAGCACTTGCCCCTGCAGCCTGTTAGAGGCTACACGGGGGATCTTTGTCTGTGTCTGTGTGTGAGGTGCTAGCTAACAGCACTTGCCCCCTACAGCTTGTTAGAGGCTACACGGGGGATCTTTGTCTGTGTCTGTGTGTGAGGTGCTAGCTAACAGCACTTGCCCCCTACAGTCTGTTAGAGGCTACACGGGGGATCTTTGTCTGTGTCTGTGTGTGAGGTGCTAGCTAACAGCACTTGCCCCTGCAGCCTGTTAGAGGCTACACGGGGGATCTTTGTCTGTGTCTGTGTGTGAGGTGCTAGCTAACAGCACTTGCCCCTGCAGTCTGTTAGAGGCTACACGGGGGATCTTTGTCTGTGTCTGTGTGTGAGGTGCTAGCTAACAGCACTTGCCCCCTACAGTCTGTTACAGGCTACACGGGGGATCTTTGTCTGTGTCTGTGTGTGAGGTGCTAGCTAACAGCACTTGCCCCTGCAGTCTGTTAGAGGCTACACGGGGGATCTTTGTCTGTGTCTGTGTGTGAGGTGCTAGCTAACAGCACTTGCCCCCTACAGTCTGTTACAGGCTACACGGGGGATCTTTGTCTGTGTCTGTGTGTGAGGTGCTAGCTGACAGCACTTGCCCCCTACAGCCTGTTAGAGGCTACACGGGGGATCTTTGTCTGTGTCTGTGTGTGAGGTGCTAGCTGACAGCACTTGCCCCCTACAGCCTGTTAGAGGCTACACTGGAGGATCTTTGGCTTTCTGTTAACCAATTCTGGCCCTTTGTGTCGTCGTCCCCCCCACCCCCCCCCCCCCCCTCCTCCTCCTTTTCCCACAGGTGGAAGAAGAAGAACCCCCAAAGAGCTCCACGCAGCTCGGGGGAGAACGAGGGGATGGACCCCAGGGAGGGAGGGAGGGATTTTCTCGGCATAGCCTCACCACCACCACCACCACCACCCTAACCACCACCACCACCCTAACCACCACCCTAACCACCACCCTAACCACCACCCTAACCACCACCACCACCACCCTAACCACCACCACCACCCTAACCACCACCCTAACCACCACCCTAACCACCACCACCCTAACCACCACCACCCTAACCACCACCACCCTAACCACCACCACCACCACCCTAACCAACCACCACCACCACCCTAACCACCACCACCCTAACCAACCACCACCACCACCCTAACCACCACCACCCTAACCAACCACCACCACCCTAACCAACCACCACCACCCTAACCACCACCACCCTAACCACCACCCCACCGCACCAACCACCACCACCACCCTAACCACCACCACCACCCTAACCACCACCACCACCCTAACCAACCACCACCACCACCCTAACCAACCACCACCACCACCCTAACCACCACCACCCTAACCACCACCACCACCACCACACTAACCACCACCACCCTAACCAACCACCACCCTAACCACCACCCTAACCACCACCACCACCACCCTAACCACCACCACCACCGCACCAACCACCACCACCCTAACCACCACCCTAACCACCACCACCCCACCGCACCAACCACCACCCTAACCACCACCCTAACCACCACCCTAACCACCACCCTAACCACCACCACCCTAACCACCACCACCCTAACCACCACCACCCTAACCACCACCCTAACCACCACCCTAACCACCACCACCACCACCCTAACCACCACCACCACCACCACCCTAACCACCACCACCACCCTAACCACCACCACCCTAACCACCACCACCCTAACCACCACCACCCTAACCACCACCACCACCCTAACCACCACCACCACCACCACCCTAACCACCACCACCACCCTAACCACCACCACCACCATGCACGCCACGACCCACACGCCCAGCACCAAGGTGCGTGTCCTGCGGCGTCTGCTTGTTGCAAGATGCTGATATGAACCGAATTTTTGTTTTAATTTCACCAGGATAAACCCACCTCCACCTCCTCCACCACCACCACCACCACCCCCCCCCCCCCAGTTCAGCCACTGAGCTGCATGGCTCTTATTGATAGCGCAACGAATTTGGATTTATCATCGTCGTGCGGAAATTCTAAGGACGCCGAATCCCGTGGACGCCTATCGATTCCGAATGTGGAAGAGGGGGGGGGGTGGTGGTAGGAACCGGAGGGCCTGGCGAGAAATCCACGCGACCACTGGCAGAGAGTGAGAGGCAGAGAGAGAGGCAGAGAGAGAGAGGCAGAGGGAGAGGCAGAGAGAGAGGCAGAGAGAGAGAGGCAGAGAGAGATACAGAAAGATACAGAGAGATACAGAGAGAGATACAGAGAGAGATACACAGAGAGAGAGGCAGAGAGATACAGAGAGAGAGAGAGACAGAGAGAGAGAGATATAGATACAGAGAGAGAGAGGCAGAGACTGAGAGAGATATAGAGACAGATATATAGAGAGAGATATACAGAGACAGAGAGATACAGAGAGAGACAGAGAGAGATATATAGATACAGAGAGAGAGGCAGAGACTGAGAGAGATATAGAGACAGATATATAGAGAGATATACAGAGACAGAGAGATACAGAGAGAGACAGAGAGAGATATATAGATACAGAGAGAGAGGCAGAGACTGAGAGAGATATAGAGACAGATATATAGAGAGATATATACAGAGACAGAGAGATACAGAGAGAGAGAGATATAGAGACAGAGAGATACAGAGAGAGAGAGATATAGAGACAGAGAGATACAGAGAGAGAGATACAGAGAGAGACGCAAACTGCAAAACGTAACAAACTCTAACACGCAGCTCCATCGGCCAAGCGTTAACCATTCTCTTTAGACCTGGAACTCTCTCCTCGGAGCTCCAGTGCAGAGACCGCTCCAGCGCCCGTCCGCCCGCCCGTCCGTCCGTCTATCCCGGCGGAAAGATCTCGGAGTGGTGTTGGTGGTTGTCTTTTGGGGGTGGGTGGGGAGGAGATGGATAACCAGCACCGGTTCAGGCTTTCTGGCCTGGGTGAGGTTTTTGGTTCGTGGTTTGTGGGTGCCGAGGAAATATCCACGTTTCCCTTCTTTCTATCACTATCGGGGGGGCGATGGTGGGGTTTGTTTTGTGAATCGCCACCTACCCCCACCGCCCTCTACCCCAAACTCCCTCCTCACAATAAATGTAACTGCAAGTTTAAAAGAACCCTCTTGTAGTCTCTGTTGTTTTCACGGGGTTTTTTTTTTGGGGGGACAATTCTACTCAGGTCAGGCCTTTTTGGACTCGTCTCTATTGAACTGTTGAATGTCAAATGTTGATTTGAAGCTTTCGTGACTGCAGTGATTGATTCATAGTCTTGGCTCTTTCGGGTGAAGTCGCCACCGCGTAGAAGGAGGAAATCAACAGGTCCCGGCAGGGTGGGCTGGTAGGACAAGTCTCTGCGCTGTCTATTGCTGATTTTTACACGCCAACAGCACGAGATTTCACTTCGTTAAAGTGTTGAAAGGGGACGGACGGACGTACGGACACATTCATCTATTGCAGGCTGGTACACTCAGTTCACAATCTTCGCTCCTACCAGTATAAAGGATGTCGGTGACAAGAGTGTGACTCTCAATGACGTCAATCACGTGGTTAAATAAAGGATTCGGTGGCAAGAGTGACTCTCAATGACGTCACTCACGTGGTTAAATAAAGGATGACAGTCACACGAGATTTCACTTCGTTAAAGTATTGAAAGGGGACGGACGGACGGACACATTAATCTATTGCAGGCTGGTACACTCAGTTTACAATCTTCGTGCCTACCAGTATAAAGGATGTCAGTGACGAGAGAGTGACTCTCAATGACGTCACTCACGTGGTTAAATAAAGGATGTCAGTGACAAGAGAGTGACTCTCAATGACGTCACTCACGTGGTTAAATAAAGGATGTCAGTGACAAGAGAGTGACTCTCAATGACGTCGCTCACGCGGTTAAATAAAGGATGTCAGTGACAAGAGAGTGACTCTCAATGACGTCACTCACGTAGTTAAATAAAGGATGTCGGTGACAAGAGAGTGACTCTCAATGACGTCACTCACGTGGTTAAATAAAGGATGTCGGTGACAGGAGAGTGACTCTCAATGACGTCACTCACGTGGTTACATAAAGGATGACAGTCACACGAGATTTCACTTCGTTAAAGTATTGAAAGGGGACGGACGGACGGACACATTAATCTATTGCAGGCTGGTACACTCAGTTCACAATCTTCGCTCCTACCAGTATAAGATATGTATAAAACAATAAAATTCTCACGACGTTTCGACTGCCGTTGGTTTTCACACCTTGATGATGATGATGTCTGCTGCTTGTGTTGCAGTCGAAACGTCGTGAGAATTGTATTGTTTTATATATATTTTATTATTTTATTGTGTCCCCCCCTTCAACGTGGTGACTTTACCTGTTGTTGTTGTTGTGTTCGTTGTACTTACAACCCCCACCCCAATGCATTTCCAATTAGCACGGTTGGCTATGCATGGTGGTGAAAAAGGAGCTCAACATAGACACTACACTGCTAGACACAATACACTATATACCATATCGAGTTTTGTCAGTACTGCTGCTTGTTGTGGTGGTTAGCTTGTTATTACACTACACCACCATGCTACATTTAGAACTAATTTCGAGAGAACTGTTTGCTACGTACAGTGTAAAATTAGTTCAACACACACGCACGCTGCTGTAAGTACGCCTATTGATCTCGCAAGTCGATCCGTGCTGAGACCATCAACCCGCCACACTTGGCGGCCTGGTTTCATCGCAACTCGGCCGATGCGAGACTGCGGGCCTCCACGTGGGCTATATATGGGCCTCCCTGTGAGTCCACGTGCCTCCCTGGGAGTCTATCATAGCTCATATTTACAAGGCGCCTTCATCCAAGGCGCCTTGCAAGGGTTATGAATGGTACAATCGGTTACATTATGAGACCTCCTTTTGCCAGTAAGACGATATAGTAATAGGTTTTACCCTTTTAACTGGCACAAAAACTGACACCTTTATTCAAGGCATCGTGTTTGCAATGACCACAGCACAAGCAGTCAAAAGGCAAACAAAAAATGACAACTCTGATAATGATAATATTGGCACTGTCCTTGAATTTGATTGGTCCACACCCGAGACGGCTTTTCTTAGAGCCCAGTCTCCAAGCCTTTTGGCGTCTTCTGGTCCAACACCAGTGGAGAGACTAAAGGGCTCTAAGAAAAGCCGTCTCTGGTGTGGACCAATCAAATTCAAGGACAGTGCCAATATTATTATTATCAGAGTTGTCTCTTTTTATAGGAATAGGTTTTACCCTTTTAACTGGCACAAAAAACTGACACCTTTATACAAGGCATCGTGTTTGCAATAACCACAACACAAGCAGTCAAAATGCAAACAAAAAAAGACAACTCTGATAATAATATTGGCACTGTCCTTGAATTTGATTGGTCCACACCCGAGACGGCTTTTGCTGTGCAAGTTAAACATTTGTGCGCGTTTTTCTAATCTTCTTTCGGTAAAGTCACCACCACGTAGAATGAGAATAAAATAATAAATTGATAAAATAAAATAACACGATAATATTCTCACGACGTTTCAGCCACAACACAAGCGGCCTTCATCAGGTGAAGGGACGAGACTGTCTGGAGGACAGCGCTGGAGTGAGAAAGCCACGCTGAGATCACGACCTTTAAGCTGTGTGAGAAGAAACAAAGCGCCTTGACAAAGGAATTAGCATAGAATTTAGCATTGAAATGGCTGAGTGATTAGCTTGTGACTGGTCACAAAAAGGCTATGTTAAAGTTAAAGCATACACATCCGCAGAGGCACCCCTTGACAAAGGAATTAGCATATAATTTAGCGTTGATTTAGTTAAGTTAAAGC